CCTGCACCACTCGGTAGGCAAGCCAGTCCCATCGTCCTCTTGTATTTCTTCCTCATTTTGTATCTTGACCAACATCATGGACTGGGGAAGGAGAAATGGTCCAGGTTTTGGAGATTAATAGCAGTGGAGTAAGGATTAGATGATTTTGCTGAACTTTTCCAAACCGAGCACACCCAGCACCCAGACCAAGATCAGCTGTCCTTAGAAGCCCCTCCCCACATGTCCTCTTAGTCATGATGCTTCACCCCACCCCAGGGTAACTACTCTGCAGACACTCAGCCAGATAGAGTAGCGTCACCTGCTCTTTAACTTTATATAAATGGGATCATTCAGGATGTAATTGTTTCATTGGTCGGGATTCCTTCATTCAACGTTAGTTCGTAAAATTCACCCAAATCCTTGTGCTTGGGAGTAGTTCATTGACTCAAATGCATAAATAAACCACAATTTACTTCTCCATTCAACTGCTGATGGGCATTTGAGGAGTTTATGGTTTAGCGTGGCTGCGGGCTTGTGAGGACGTGGCTGTGGTGTGCATGTGGACATGTTTCTGGTAGGTGCCGAGCGGCTGGATGTGTGTATATTCACCTGTTTAACTGTGTGTATATTCTGCTGTTTAACTGTGAACAGCAGACAGAGCATGTGGCAGGTGCTGTCCAGAAAAAGGCCCCTCCCCCGCTTGTAGAAGATTCTGTCCAGCGCCTCTGCGGTGAGATCTGATATGTCTGCCCCCCATGCAACCACCCACCCTTCTCTGGCTTAACTGGCCCTTCTGTGGAGCCATGATGCCTGACATTTGAAAGGATTGGTAGGATCCTGAAGAACCTTCTGAGTCATCAGAAAGAGCTTCTCATTTGTAGTTTTACGGTTCCACGATCAATTCATGCTAAATCCTAATTCATTTATTCACAAACAGTTATTATTTTTCCACTCTCTACAAGGTGCTATAGAAGTAAATTAAAAACATGAGGTGCCTGGGTGGCTCAGTCGGGTGAGCGTCCAACTTCGGCTCAGGTCATGATCTCACAGTTTGTGGGTTTGAGCCCCACATCGGGCTCTGTGCTGACAGCTAAGCCTGGAGCCTGCTTCAAATTCTATGTCTCCCTCTCTCCCTACCTCTCCCCCACTCACGCTCTGTCTCTCTCTCTCTCTTTCAAAAAGAAAATAAACATTAAAAAAAATTTTTTTAACAGAATCTGGGGTGCCTAGTTGGCTCAGCTGGTTGAGTGTCTGACTCTGGATTTCGGCTCAGGCCATGATCCCCGTGTCGTGGGATGGAGCCCCGAGCTGGTCTCCATGATGAGCATAGATCCTGCTTGATATTCTCTTTCTCTCTCTCTCTCTCTCTCTCTCTCTCCCTCTTCCCCTCTCACAATCTCTCACTCTCTAAAAAAAATTTTTTTTAAGTAAAAAAACACAGAATCTTGCCCCTAAGGAGTTTACAAGTTTGGGGAAGCATAAATAACTCTAGCACTAAGTAGAATGAGATGTGTTCCATTTTAAAAACATGCAGGCAAGGTGACTATTTTTCAATACTGGTACCCTACATTTGCCAAACATCATAGGCTAGGGTACTTAATTAAATATTATACAATTTTTCGTCTAGGGGCACCTGGTTGGCTCAGTTGGTTAGGCATCTGACTTTGGTTCAGGTCATGATGTCATGGTCCATGAATTTTGGCCCCGAGTTGGGCTCTGTGCTGACAGCTCAGAGCCTGGAGCCTGCTTCAGGTTCCGTGTCTCCTTCTCTCTCTGCCCCTCCCCTACTTGTGCTCTGTCTCTCTCTGTCTCTCAAAAACGAATAAATGTTAAAACTTTTTCTTTAATTTTACATCTAAACTTACTCTAAACATTTATGGGCTCATCGATGGTAGATGTAAGTTCAGGTTGAATGCCACAGAGTCTAATTTTATTCTATTCTGTGAATCTAGGGATACTTAGACTCTACACCAACAAATTTTTCAATCAGTAAATTGATACTTTCTGCTTATCTCCCCACCCTTCAGGATATACCTACAATCCTTTCTTTTATTTCCAAGTTATCTGCTAGAGTTTAGTTCTGCTGGTGATTGTATAATTATTCATTCAACATATATTTGTGTCGGTTACTTTGTGTCAATATTGTGGCAGCCCCGGAACATGAAATAAGGAAACACACCCAACCCCTGCAAACATCCTTGTCCTCTGAGGACCCTTGTCATCCTAGAATTTACAAGCTCAGCGGAAAGAGAAACAGTGGTCGAGAATTTCAACTACTGTATGTAGTGGGTTTAATAGTGTCCCTCCAAAATTCATGTCCACCTGGAGCCTCAGAATGGGACCTGTTTGGAACTTAGATTTTTACAGACATGATCAATTAAGACCATACTGCGTTAGGGTGGGCCTTGATTTAAATGACTGGTGTCTTTGTAAGAAAAAAGAAGGAGAGTCAGGTAGACACAGAAACACACGGGGAAGAAGCCTTATGATTTCACAGGAAGATAACAGAGCAATGTAGCTACAGGTCAAGGAACATCAGGATTGCTGAGAAGCTGAGTCAAGGAAAGGAGTCTTCCCTAGAGCTTTCAGAGAGAGCATGATGCTGCTGATACCTTGATTTAGGTCTCCCAGCCTCCAGAATACTAGGAGAAGTTTCTGGAAATAAAAGTAGCACCGTCGTTTTTTAAAGCTTCTCCCTTTGCTCCTCACCTTGAGCTCTCGGCACCTTGTTTAGATCTCAGCTAGAAGAGCTATTATATTTGTCATTATCTGTTTATATAACCATCTATCGGTTATAATGTGGGCTCCGTGAGAGCAAATACAGTGTCTTAGTTATTTTTATATCCCTAGAACTTTGCATGGAACCTGGCCTCTGGGATTTGATTTATAAGTGACTGCATTGATATATAAATAAGTGAGTCAGCAAATACATGCATTAAATACCTTGTTTCTGCTCTGTCTTCTTGGCCTGTCTTTGGCCCTACATAATTGCTTTTCTCTCTGGTCTGACTTAACATATTAACTGCCTTTTCTTTTTCTGTGTGCTCTACTTACCACTGACAAATATTTTTATACCAGTTGTCCCAATAAACTTTTGGAAAAAGAGTCTCTTCCTCGTGAATTTCTGTGTTTACATGTGGGGCCATTTTTCTAATTCCCTGCATCTCATGGAAATGCTAGCCATGTTTGCTTTGCACCTTTGAGAGCTAATTCTTCATCATTGCCACCATCATAACCATCAAATGGTTGAGAGCATGCTGTGTTGCATTCCATGTAGAAGGGGAGGAAGGCCATGAACAGTGGCCCCTTTTCTAAATGAGGTCACCACCTCAGTCAGAAAAACCACAGACAGGCCCCAGAATTAACTAAGATGTACAGATGGCTATGGCAAAATATTTATATTATATACAACAAAAATGTAGGAACAGTTTCTGAAGTTTATGAGAAACGAGCCACGTTTTCTGAACTAGAAATAAGACATATAACCTCACGATGAGCTCACAACCGATTGGACAACCGTGTATTGTATTGAAATTGTATGTTCCCCCAAATGCAGCACCCATGTTCTCTCTGGCCAGTGTGGGTACCCTCACTCAGGGAGGAGGGAAGAGTTGGCACCTCTCTGGCTTACAAAACTATTCTCAGCCTCCCATGCTAATCTTTCCACAAACTGGAGACAGGCTGTAATTATAAAGTAAAAGCACACCCAGCAAGGGAGAAGAAGCTGATGGCTTTTGAAACATGCTTCCCTAAGCCCAGCAGAGAAGCTGCTCGAATTTGATGGACTCTTTGAACAGGATCGGCGTTCCGAGATGCAGGCTGGAGAGGGGGACGAGTCGGGTGGACATAGAGAGGTTCATCCCAGTCTACAGAGAGGTCTGAGAGGAGGCAGTAGTAAAAAGAAGTAAGGGGGGGGGGGGGCACCTGGGTGGCTCAGTCGGTTAAGCGTCTGACTTCGGCTCAGGTCACGATCTCACGGTTCCTGAGTTCAAACCCCATGTGGGGCTCTGTGCTGACAGCTCGGAGCCTGGAGCCTGCTTCGCGTTCTGTGTCTCCCTCTCTCTCTGCCCCTCCCCCACTCGTGCTCTGTCGCTCTTGCTCTCAAAAATAAATAAAACATAAAAAAAAAAGAAGTAAGGGAGGTTGGCAAGAGAAGTCAGCCTTGGATTGGGAAGACAGTGCGTTCTGAGAAGGGGAGGAAGCCCATTACTTCATTTTTCAGGCCAGAGTTTCCCTAGCCAAATCCATCCTTAGGACGGCTCCTGAGCTCAGCACTGGTTCCAGTTTGTGACCTCAAGTCTCAGTCTCCCTGAGACCTAATTTGTAGACATATAAAAGCCCTCTTGTAGATAGAGAGATGATAGATAGATAGATAGATAGATACCATTTGCTTGTCATTTCTTGCAAAGATATTTTATGGCATACAATATAATCATTCTCAAGCATCCATCCTTACAACTAACTAAACAGAGAACTTCCTGTAGGTACCAAATGTGTTGTTTCCATTTTGAGCTTTTCTTTTTAATCTGCTAGAATAAATGATGCGTTTTCTTGACATTTCCCTCTTTACAACTATCACTACTTAGGAGTTTCATTTATTTGTATTCTTTTGATTTCCTGCCGTAGCACACATATTTATAAAACAAATTTTATTGTTAGGTTATTGGATATGCTAGTGATAATAAAGAAGTAAACAGTAAAAAGTAATGTTTGGTATTAACGGCAATATTTGGGAATAAAATAACAATAAGTGTTTCCTCTCATTGTTTTTTTTTTTTTTTTTTTTCTGGGCTAGTTTTTTGCTTTGGTTTAGTTTTGGGTTTGATTTCCGGGTTGTTTTCAAGTTTGTGCACGGAGAGAGCGGTAGATGGCGGGAGACAGTAACGCACTTGATGGGTCTCTGCTGCCATCTACCGTCCGTCGTGCACCAACTCACCGTTTCCTTGATTCGAAAACTCAAGTACTCCGTGACTTGCAGTAAGCCAAGTTCCCCCTTGTCTTCTTTCTATTTTTTTCTTTAGTTAAAGCAAAGTGAAGCCAATGCAGACACCAAAGAGAAGCTCCCTTTGCGACTTCGAATCTTTGAAAAATTTCCAAACAGACCGCAAATGGTGAAAATCTCAAAGCTTCCTTCAGATTTTACAGTTCCTAAAATCAGGTATTAATATACTTATTTCAGCGTATGTGCCAAATACACTGTCAAAGAGTTACCTTGAATCTGCATCAGTCCTTCTTTCAAGTTCATGTTTAAAAGAAGGGTATTTTTTTCTATTTTTAAGTTATTTATGTTTCTACTCTCTCTACCTCTGTTTTAAAAGCCATTGACCCCTTTAAGCGATATATTCAGAGCAGTCATTTGATGGTGGCATTAGGCTGCTTCCCCCTGCTTCTTCCCGAGATGCTCCTCAGGGATTCGTCTCCCCAGGTAACAGGCACGGGTGCTCACAGCTGCAGGTAGACACCAACCCCTGACTTTCAACCATATAAGGATAAACTTGCCTCTTGAAGCCTTTTATTTTCAAGGAAGTAGAGAAATGCCACCAGCCAGGTTTCTGTCCTGCTGTGACAGCATTTGTTTAGAACGTCGTGTCTGATTCCAGTATAATTTGTCTTTCACGCTTTTGTCAAGTTTAAAAATTCTTTAATGCATCTTAGAGAACAAGTAGTGCATTACAAAGACCTGCTCAAAAGTGTGTTGCCATTGTTTCTTTATGCATCATAAACCAACATAACTATTGTGGGAGAGAATGGTATGTCGTTCTTCCAAATCTTTAAACTGTCCTTAATGTAGCATGGACACAACCTTAGAAGGAAAATTCTGGTGACATGGCTTGCCCAGCACACTTACCTTAGGCTCTAATGGGTCTTTGTCTTCCTCTTTTAAAAGAAGAAATGTGGCATTTCCCACTTACACTAATTTTATCTTCCACCCCTTTGCCCTTCAGTTAAGCATTTGCATAAAGGATATGTTCAAACCCTTATTTTTAATAATCAAAGGATTTTATTTCAGTTGTAGCTCAAAAATCACAAATAGAACCAGAATAGTATGAAATTTGACATTTTTATGTAACTAGTTCTAAAAACAATCCTGTGGGGGGGGGGTATAAAAATGTGAGACTGGATATGGTGCCATAATATTTAAAATTCAAATGGAAATATATTTGCATTTCTGATTAAAATAATTTTTTAACTTGAAAATAGGAAGTATGGGGCACCTGGGTGGCTCAGTCGGTTAAGTGTCCAACTTCCGCTCAGGTCATGATCTTGAGGCTCATGAGTTTAAGTCCCCCGTCAGGCTCTGTGCTGAGAAGCCTGGAGCCTGGAGCCTGCTTTGGATTTTGTGTCTCCCTCTCTCTCAGCCCCTCCTCCCCCCACTCGTGCTCTGTCTCTCTCTTTCTCTCTCAAAAATAAATATTAAAAAATTTTAAAGAAAAAGAAAATAGGAAGTATAAAAGAGCCACATATTAGATTCAAGATTAGTGGTTGTATGAAAAGGTGTTATTTGCATTCTCACCATGTTTTGGAGATGAGATAAAGCAAGTTTCTTTGAGTTATTTTTAATCTTTAAATGTAAAATTATCTCTCAATAATTCTTATGATGAGTGGAAGTTCAGAGAGATGAACTAATTCTTCTAAGTCTTAGAGGCGGAAAAGAAGTATCTTATTACCACAATGAGATTCAAAAAACTACCGTCAATGACTGAATATTATTGCTTAAAAGTTATTTCAGGGACATTGCTTTTTTAAACAAAACTACTGAAGATTCAGGAAGCTTTCTCTAAATTAATTATTTTGCTAATTAAATTTAAACACTGCTCTTGGCATGATGTGTCTTCTTTCTTTCTTTCTTTCTTTCTTCCTTTTTTAGCAGGCAAAAGTTTATTAGAATATAAGATGAGGAATGAAGAATAGTAGGAAAGCTCCCTTTACAAAGAGGGGACATTAGAAAGTGAATGTCCTGGGTCTTTTTTTCTCTGAACTTCTGTCACCCTATCATAGCTCAAGCAAATACACAGGTGTAAAACGCCACCACGTGCTCCATTTTATTTAACAATGCTTGACATGTGTGTGTATGTACTTCATTTGCAAAGGGAGAGTTTCATGAAGCAGTTCATCGATCGCCAGCAACAGGACACCTGCTGCCTGTTACGGAGCCTCCCTTCCACCTCTTCCTCGTCCTGCGATCACTCCAAACGGTCCGCAATAGAAGACAACAAATACATTGACCAAAAAGTAAGAATCCACTGCTTCAAATTACCAAAGTTTTCTTAAGCACGTATGTTTTACATAATTGCAAGGCTCTATGGGGTCCTGAAATCGAAGGTCTCAGGACAATAATGAAGAAAATGATTTTATTTGTAGAAGAAATTGTTAAACCTGACATTGGTATTATTTATGAATTTCAGTTTTGCATTTGTACACGTCAGCTTCTGAGCCGTGCCAGGTAGCAGCCCTGTGACTTTGATGGGTAGAGACCGTCCCAACCCTGCATTTTCTTACTTGCAGAAGGGTTCTGATTGCCAGCGGTCAGCCCGGTTTATGGGTGGCCTGTGTGTTGCTTTTTCAAGAGACCATGTTTATTCCAGTTATTACACTAGGGAGAAAAACCAGAGGAGGTTCCTATAAAAATCAGTCAAGGGGCTCCTGGGTGGCTCAGTCAGTTAAGTGTCTAAGTTTCAGGTCATGATCTCGCCGTCCATGAGTTCGAGCTATGCATCAGGCTCTGACGGCTCAGGGCCTGGAACCTGCTTCAGATTCTGTGTCTCCTACTCTCTGTTCCTCCCCCACTTGCACTCTGTCTCTCTCTCTCTCAAAAATAAATAAACATTAGAAAAAAAAATCAGTCAACATAACTACCGCTTATTAAGTGCTTAGTATGTGGTGGCAATTATTGCTATGTGTTGTCTTAATCATGTTGTGATCTATCTATCATTCAATAGTTGATAGGGAATTTTTTCCCTCGGATTCCACAGTTAGAAAATGAATGACCAGTTACAGAGTTTGTAACAGATCTTAAACGTTAGGGTTCACTTGCGGGCATTTTCCTTTGGAAGTCCTGGTTCACTTTTTATTCCATTAAATTGGGGCCACCCTTTTTCTGTTGCTTAGGATCAAATACATATTTCTCATTATCACGTGAAAATAAAATACCAGCCCCTTCATCCTCTTTCCCCTGCTCTCCCATCCCACGAGGATTAGCCTTTCCCCACAGAGTGCCTTTCCCCTCTGCTGCTTTTCTCCTGCCCTTCCCCACCTCTCCCCTCTAACTCTCCCAGCGCTCATCATGTGCTGCAGCCCGGTGATTTTGTTCTCAGTTACAATAATGAACTCCTTGTGCGATGTCTCTTCCTGCTTATTTTCTTTCAGTCACCTACAGATGCTATTTCTCTCTCTTCTAGATTCCAACGTTGTAGATGACAAGTCTGATGCCACTGTCATTTTTTTTTTCATATGAATATAATTAGTTTTTTCTTTGGTGGTTGGTTGGTTGGTTGGTTGGTTGGCAGGTAGGCTTTCTGGTTTGGGGGAGCTTTTAAGACTTTCTACGTATCCCTGGGGCTCAGAAGCCTTACCAGGATATACTTTGTATGTCGTTTCTCATCAGAACTGCCCCAAATGGGGAGTCTTTTCAGTTTGCAGACTGAGATATTTGTCAGGGAAATTTTCATTTACTATTTGTTCAATTATTACTTTTCCATCTGGCCCTTTATTTCCCTCTTACTTTTTCCCTCATGATTGCCATCGGTCTGCTTTTCTTCTGTGCTTTGAAATATTTATTCCACTATATCTTCCAAGCCACTGAATTGATCTCAACTGAGATTTTTCTTTGCCTTTAAATTTTGAGTGGAAAAAAACCCCACAAAATGTGCATTTGCATGCATGTGTACACATACAAGCAATATTCTTACCCTCATTAAAGACTTTGACTGTTTTTTAAAAAATATTAAATTTGTCACATTTCTTGTCCACAGTTGTTACATTTCATTCAATACTGTGTCCAGGACATACACGAGGAACTGCATGTGTTAGTGGACAATCAAGTGGAGGGATAGTGGCCTGGTTTCAGCCACTCAGTGTGAAATCGCATTTTACATACTAGAACACAGAATGTTTATTTTTAAATTTTATTTCAAATGCAGACTTTAAGCCAGAGTTATGGAATGAATCCCCAGCCTGGGCTGTGGTTGTCGTGACCAGCCATCTCCACAAAGAATGCCGAGAGCTGGTGGCCGTTATGCCCCAAGTGGGCATAAATCCACAACATGCTCTTTTAAGTCACTTATAACATTATTCCACTGGAAACACAAAATTGAAATTAGTCCCTGATCATTTATTTTCTCTCTGAAAGCAAATACGACATTTCTCACACTTTCTGAACAAAATATTTTGAAATTGGTGAGGAAAAAATAAAGATTCTTGGCAGGTGTGTGGGGGTTCCAAGGGGGGCACACCCTATCACCCTTCTGGGTGCCCACCATCTCCCTCCCCTAGCGATCCCTGTGCTAGATCACTGTCTGAGAATTTCAGATGCCATTTCTGACTTCTCCAATGTCCTTATATTTTTGTGGCTTCTGTCTACTTTCTCATTTCACATTATTTTTAACTAACTGAAAGTAAGATAACAATTACAATTTTATTCCATTATCGTACAATTGTGCCTTTCTCATAATATCCTAAAATATAATGAACTAGCACAGGCACTGCTCCTCAGTGGTATCTAAATCACTCAGCATTGTAAAAGAGACCAGAACTAGAGCACCTGGGTGGCCCAGTCAGTTAAGCATCTGACTCTTGATTTCAGCTCAGGTCATGATCTCACGGTTTCCATGAGTTCAAGCCCCAATTTGGGCTCTGCACGTTGACCATGTGGAGCCTGCTTGGAATTCTCCCTCTCTTCCTCTCTCTCTGCCCCTCCCCAGCTCTCTCTGTCTTTCACAAAATAAATAAATAAATTTTTTAAAAAATTAATAGAAGATACTAGAATTTTTTGATGACAACAGGCATTCCCCAATCTATAAGTTTGGTTGATTCAAACACCCAATATCTGATCTTGTACCAGGAAAATTATAGAGATGGTTAGGTTATCCTTCACCCCAGGCAAGCTTCGTTGGCCCATATCTGGATAATCTACAATTGGGAGAATATTATTTACCTCCTCGTGAGCTCCATTTTCTGGAGACATGCTCCAGTTGGGAAGGTGGGGTGTAGAGAACATATTTTCTCTTCATCTCAGTAGCCACTACCCTAGCATGGCAGCAGCAAGAAGGTTTACCCAGGCTACTGTTGCTTCTTAAAGCCTTGGCTTTATTTAGGCTGCAGGGAAAGTCAACTTCCCTCCTTTGGCGTTCCAGTGTTTGCAGCTTCAGCTGCCATTGCTTCCTGGCTGTCCTCAGAAGTACCTGGGAGGGGCGCCTGGGTGGCGCAGTCGGTTGGGCGTCCGGCTTCAGCCAGGTCACAATCTCGCGGTCCGGGAGTTCGAGCCCCGCGTCGGGCTCTGGGCTGATGGCTCAGAGCCTGGAGCCTGTTTCCGATTCTGTGTCTCCCTCTCTCGCTGCCCCTCCCCCGTTCATGCTCTGTCTCTCTCTGTCCCAAAAATAAATAAATGTTGGAAAAAAAAAAAAAAGAAGTACCTGAAGTACCTGGGATTTGTTGTCTGTGTTGAGTGCCATTAGCCCAGAAAACCCGACACAGAGAAGCCCGCTTAACGAATGTCAGCATGAGGATGCCCCAGGGGAGCAGAAATTGAAGAGGAAGCAGTCTAGTATTTGTATTTGTAAACATGCCAAGCCTTTTTTAAATTTTTACTTAAAAACCTTAAAGCCACATAAAATTACATAAGCACATGACAAAAATCCTGAACAGAGACCATACCCCTCATAGCTTCTGATAAAATATTTTTCGGTGAGCACTTGGAAATTTCTGTGACAGCCCCAGATGCCTTTGGAAATGCCTGGCAGTGTCCAGTGGATGGCAAGGCTTTCTCTCTATATGAAGAAACTCTCCAGCGTGGTACGGCACAGGTTGAGGCTGTTTTTCCTCAAAGAGTAGTAAGAAATAAAAAGAAAATGTGAGGCCGGTCTAACAGTGATTCCCATGACATGAAAAAAAGGAGCACTAAAGTAAAACTTTTCCATTAATGCTGACCTGTAAGGAGAAACTTCTGAGTCCCGCAAAGCTGACCTCGTGTCAAGGAAAATACTGAGTCCCCAGGAACATGAAGATCATAAGTTAAGGGATAAAAAAGAAGACACGACAACGAACAGTGGGGGTGGTTTTGGTTATGCAACTGGAGGAACATGAGGGCACAAAGGCACATGCTGGGCAGGGTACTGTCCGAGTTATGACCTTGGCTTTGAACAACCATAAATAATTCCATGGCAATCTTATGCTGCAGGGACCTGATCACCTTTATCATGTAGTTTAAAATACCTGTCCTTCTCCCCATAAACAATAAGCAAACAAAAACATAAAATCTTTAAGTTGTTGTTGCAGATCCTAAAGGAAAAAGACAGAGGGGCACTTGGGTGGTTCAGGTGGTTGAGTGTCCGACTCTTGATTTCAGCTCAGGTCATGATCTCACGGTTTGTGGGATCAAGCCCTTCATCAGGCTCTGCGCTGACAGTGTGGACCCTGTGGACCCGGATTCTCTCTCTTTCTCTCTCTCTCTCTCTCTCTCTCTTTCTCCCCTTCTGCCCCCTCCCCCTCAAAATAAATAAATAAACTTAAAAAAAAAAAAGACAGGAAACAGTGCTTTCCAACCTCTCCCTTGTGGTGAATGGCTGCCCTTCCAGACTCCATAGAAAATGGCATTCCCAAGGCTAATTCCCTCATTCCTTTCTCCTCCTACTCTCCCACACCTGGGGCGTCAGCCAGGGGTTCCCTCTCCTGGTTAAAGGATAAACCTGCATCTCTTGAGAGGAGGTTTGTACTTTCCAAGCAGAAGGAAATCGGGCAATGGTTTTCTACCCATTTTTTGTCCAGATTATTGAAACTAAACCCTGGGATTCTTTACTAGAGTGTTTGTTAGTAAACTGAGGTGTGAACGTGCTTTTTCAGTAGCCCTGGTAATAAAAGCAGCCCATTCACAGGTGAATCGTCTCCATAATGTCAAGGTTTGCACTGTGGCTGGAACTGGCGACTCTCTGCCCTTTAGCTGAGCTCGCCAATCCTTCTGCCCTGCTGTCTTGGCTGCTGTGCCCTTTCTGGGGTCAAAACCTCACAGCATGTGGAGA